GAAATTTTAGCTGTAAGATCAACTCTTAAAAATCAAATAAGTCAACTTAATTCAACTAAAGATTTTGCTCAACTTTTAATGGTGAAAAATCATTCTTTAACAGCCAGTTTCCCAGAAGTATGTACTGCTCTTTTATTATTTTTGACAATTCCTGTTACATCTGCAAGCGCGGAACGGTCATTTTCGAAACTAAAAATTATTAAAGGATATTTAAGGAGTACAATGATGCAAGATCGTTTAAGTGGCCTGGCATTAATTTCAATCGAACAAGAAACAGCCCGAGAAGTTGACTTTGAAAATTGAATCGATATGTTTGCCGAAGCAAAAGCAAGAAAGAAGAAATTTTGAATATTTAAATTTTTGTATTGCTTTGTATATATTTTTTAAACCAAAAAATGTTTATTACAATTTTACTATAAAAATAATATTACACTAAACATGCTTTTTATTGTTTGTAAACTTAAAGGGTAGAATTTTATAGGTGGTTAGTTTTTGTAGGCTATTCCTCATATCTCTTTTTTCCAAATTTATAAAACTAAGGGCCCGATTGGATTATTTTGCACGGGCATTAAAAGTTCTGGTTACGCCACTGTACTATAGTAATATACTATACAATGGTTAGTGAATCATATTCTAAACAAATTAATACATTAATTATACGTAATAATGTTCATGAAATATTAATTATTTCTTTTATTTACCTATGTTTAGTTTTGGCTTAAAAAATAAAAAATAAAATGTTTCTAAAACACAACAATTAGATACACCATCAACGTGTAGCCATTCTACTGACAAAAACGTGTCTTATAGTCTTAACCAATTGTAAGTTATTAAGTTAGCTACACGAGGATATTCACAAGTTTACTAGTGAAACAGTTTGGGAGGCAATATCACTAGCAGCAGAGAAAGAGGCTAAACTGGCAGTTGCAAACGGTGATGTAAGAGAAGACGGAGTTCCCATGATAACTATCATAGTTGATAGTGCTTAGTCGAAATTAATCTACAAGTCTAATTACAATGCTTTGTCTGGAGTTGTAAGAAGGAATTATTAAACTCATCAATGCATAAATAAAAAGACCAAGGCTTGAAATCGAAATAAAAAATTTCGATTTTAATTTCAATTGATTATTGATATTAGTTTTTAGAAATAGTTTATAGAAATTGGTTTTCAAGAGCGTGGACTAACCAACGTATGTGATATGGTACGCGAGTGACGACTGATGGTACCGGGGTCTGATACAGTCGTACGGAAAAATACAACAGCCGCCGAAACTTGTTCTTATACCGAATATAATATACAACACCGTATCATCAATAGCAAATTATTTTTAATTTTATCGGGAACTGCGATACGCAATTTATACTAGTTGTGTGCGTTGACAAACGCACAGATAAAGATATTTACGAACGCGCACGAACAAGTCAGTGATCGACTTTGGTCACTATTTTTCAAAACATTGTTTAGGATGAACAAAAATGCTTTTACGGGAAAAACTCTCACGCCACAGTTATTTGTCGGATTTCGATAAAATTTTTTTTTTCTGAAAAATTAGAACATTTTGCAGTTCGGATCAAAGCCCGAATTTTCATTTTGATTTGAACAGTGCTAGAAAATTAAATTTGAAAAAAGCAAATATTGTGCCTTATTGGAATGCATATTTTAGATTCTTTAATTATAATTTTGAAAATTGCGTTTTGATCCGACCTGCGAAATGTTTTCTTCTTTTGAATAAAAAAAAAAAAAATTACAAAATTCGACAATTCTATAGGGCGTGAGAGTTTTTCCTGTAAGACAAGTTTTTGTGTATTAAAACTGCACTGGCTCCGACCCCCTTAAAATCAAATAAGGAGGTTTCGTTTAAATCAAACCCATGATAATTCATTTTATTTTATGAAACGCCGCACAGTATATTATTAATGTCTAGAAATTTTTTTCAGCCTTTTTTTCAAAAGAATACGATTTAGTTTATCCGAAATTGCAGTTATGCAGTTGCCGATAATAAAAACAATAATAATTCAATATAACCATTTAGTCCGTATTCCGGATTTTCAGATTTCTTATTAATTTAATTTAATTCCGACTAATTGGATATATTTTTTTAAATATTTTAATGTATAAATTACAGGTGATAATATATCTGCACAAATTCCAAGTTTATCAAGAAGTGCAAAAAGTGAAGCCATTTCCGCAACCACGTTTGATTCTGAACCGATAGTTACTTTAAATATGATGAAATACAGTTCAAATTATAGTTCAACAATTGATGATATTGATTATGAAAAGTTTTTTGTTCATTTATGGAGTTATAAACAAATATAAATTTACAGAGAATTGTAATCGAAAATAGGTATTCCATGTATATAATTTGATGCTACTGACGGATGCTGTAGAAAAATCAAAAATTCAGAAAATAATCAAAGTAGCCACTTATTTCTTTACGAAGGTGTAATGGAAATTTATGGAAGATATTTCACTGTTGTATCGATGATATCTGAAAAACGCGATACCTTGAATATATGCATCTGGTTAAACCGATGGTTGAATGTGGTGTCAGAGCACCATAAATGGTTGTTTCTGATCAGTCATTGGTTCTTATGTCGGCACTTGTTCAGTCATTCACTTGAAGATTATCTACTCGTATTTACTCGTTTTCATTTAGTTATGAATACCAGTTCACGTAATATACCATAGTGTTACGTAAGGAATAATATTAATCATTTTGTAAAACTAATATCTCAGTGGAATCCGCTAAATAAAACGAAATTCCCCAGGACAAAAAAAATTATTTGTGAAATCAATGACACTTTTAATATATTGCACATCAATGGTAGAAACTAAAAAAATGTTAGAAGCTATTTTTAAAATAGCACTCTGTAAATACGATGGCCCATTTTTAGTACGAACTGATGATTCAGTAGAAACTCCATGTGCTTTAAATAAAAATATCTTCAACCCCTCATTTCTAGTAAAACATCATACTTACAAACTTGTATCATTTAATTGAAGAAAATGTGTCTATTATTATAAATGATCAAGAATATTGAAATGAAAATAGTAATGATGAATGTGATGGTTCATTTATGAACTGGGCCTTATCAATAGCAAATAACTATGAACTAGAAGTGGAAACAATTGAAGGTGAATACGATAACGCACAATATGTACCTGAATTGGTACCTCTTATAGTCAAAGGTATGAAGTTGTATCCCTATTGGTCCGGAATCATGCAGAAACCGTTTGGTTATGGAGAAGTCACAGCTCCAAGTAGTCGAGTAAAAATTAATATAGTAAGCTTTGTAGTGTTTGGATGGGTGTACAAAATTTTATTTCGGTTGTAAAAAATTGTACAAAATGTACTGTATAAATTAAATTTTGATAAGATAATAATTGGTCATTGGCAGTGCTGGGGAAATGTTTTCCCAGCACGTGCATGACAAAATCGGGGTTTCTCGAGTTTGAGAGGTTATACAACATTTTATTTTGGCTGTACAAAATTGTAAAAAAAAAAGTAAAAAATACTATCAAGTTTCGGTATTAAGATTCGAAAGTGGCAGTGCTGGTGAAACGGACCTATATTACTCATTGGGGGACGTGGTTAGATGCAACAGACTATTATTGTAAACATATACAAAGTATTCGAAATGTTTTTGTAAAGTTGAGTGACGATTCAGCTTCTACATTAAAAGTAATAAATATTTTGGATGACCAACAATTAGACTAGGTTTGAAATCATATCTAAATCGTTTACCCAGCTTGAAAAACGTGGATTAAAACTAGTCGATTCATTTAACATTATAAACAAAATTATAGACGATATGAACATATAAAATAATTAATACACAACAGTGGCGTATTTACGGGGTGGTCCAAGGGTACTGGACCCCCCCAGAACCTCCCCAAAAAATAAAAAATTAACAACAATTCTTACATATTTGCAGAATTGGGTATGTTAAACATTCACAGGGAAATTGAAATTACTGTTGATGAAGTGATAGAGGAGTTGGCCAAAAAATCGAGACAACTGGAATTTATTTTATAACAATACTTTATAATATATAATGCTAAATACAATATATAGGTACATATATATAATATTACATAAGACTATACGATTATTACATTATATATTTAGTTCAACTTCCTCCAAAAACTGCTTAAGGACGTAACTATAACAATATAATATATAGTTTATATTAATTATGTATAAACTGTGGACCCCCCCCAGAAAAAATTGAAAATACGCCACTGTTACACAATCAAAGAATATAAAATCAGTAGTGGAAAAACATAATAAAGTAATTGGAAAAAAACAAAGGTTTAAATATGCTTTGTATAATTTCAAGTATTACAAATAGCACTGAGGAAAACATCCTAACTGATAAGATTTGAATGCTAGTAAAATGGTTTACTTCAAATATCCACCGATCACGTCAGTGGACGTCGAATTTTTTCGCAATGTGAGAATCTGCTGACAGATAAAAGACATTCTCTGATATTTGAAAATATCAAAGAAATTTTAATAGTTCAGTGCAATTCTGATTTAGGTAAGGTAAATATTTAAGAATAATTCGACAATTATCTTTTTTGTTTTATTAGGTGCAGAATAATAACTAAGAATATTCCAATATTCAAAAAAGATTCAAATCAATTTAATATACAAAAATTAATATAGTTAAAATTTATAAAGAGTAATAATAAAATTAAATGTTTAAAGAAAGAATATAATTTTTAGAAATTTTATAATTTTTATATAAATTGTAATATTTTAATTTTTTTAAGGGCATATTTAACCGCATATTTTTAATTTTTTGATGCATAAGTGCAAATTTTTAAATGCATAAGTGATGATTTTTTAGTGCATGAATGTCCTTGCTCTAATAATAAATAATAATGGTAAACATTTTTATCGTAATCGTTCATAATAAAAACATTTGATTTTTTCAAATTCTAGTATTCTGTATCCAAATAGTGAAAATAGTGAAATAGTAAAACGTTTTACCTTAAAAATAATTTCTCGTCAAACCATTCCGGTACGTCCTTGGGCAATTTTTTGTCAATTAAAATATTACATCCTTCTTCCAAAATTCTACTGACCCGCTCTTTTGCTTTATGTTCTTCCATATTCAACACTGTTAAAATAAATGATTAATAACAAATACATAAATTGAGTTATTACTTATCTGTACATTTCTAAAAAATAACTTTATGTTAGTAGTAAACTCTTTGTTGATTGTCGTACACGTATAAAGGAAAACTAATAAGTTATTGTTCATTGGTGTTAGAGTTAAATATTTTTAAATTTATTATGAGTTCGATTGAGGTCTTTAGAATTTTTCTTTACCTATAAAAAATAGTCAATAAAATATCAAATAATTACACTTCGGGTAAGGTAATGATTATTTGTGTGGAAAAAAGCAAACATCTTACTATTACAAAGTGAACTGATATCGCGTATGCTATATATATACAGGTACAACAATTTTAATAACACAACTAAAATGTATAATGCTTAAGTAAAATAATATATAAAATATAATATTATAGATAATTATGAAATCATCAGCTTATAGTTTAAACAAAGAACTGAAAAAACGATATTTTATTAAGGTCAATTGTGATAAGACAACCAGAGAAAAGCATTGAAATTAACGAATTACTTAAATTATTATTTATTATTATTATTATAGGTATATTGCATCAGTAATGCATATTATTTATTGCAATATTTTACTATACATTTTTATTATTTATTACAATATTAGATAACCAGTCTACCAAAATATCATTAAGAGTATATTTATTTTAAATTAATCAATTCTATTCCTATAAAAAATAAAAATAAATAATTATCTAAAGCACATATTAATATATTTAATACATTAAATAAAATGGTTTTATTAATCAAAGCTTATTTTGGTTACCGAAAAATAATCACGCCTTTGCAAAACTGATTGTTCTAAGTGTGAAGGGAAATGTGCTATTGCGCTCAAACGAATATTAAAAAGATGCATGTGCATAAATGAGTTCTAAAAAAGGTAAATGTGCCCAAACGAGTCGTCCTTGTTTAATAGGTACAAATCATAAAACTAAAAAATCAAATAAATATGTTAAAAAAAATAAAATGTTATTATAATTTTCAATAATATACAAATAAACTAAAATCTGAAAAAAAAAATGAAATCATTTTTTGTAAAAGAGCCTCACTAAAAGTAATAATCCCCCTAATATTTTGACCATAACCGGCCCTAACCTAATCTATACACTTTCAATATGAATAAATCCCCTTCCAGGCTTCTTTACACTGGTACTGATAGAGATTATTTTTTTTTTTGATATGAGTACACTTAGGCTCTTTTCACACGAGACGGTTTCGTTCGTACGGTTAAAATCCGTACGATTTTTTTCCGTACGGACTTTGTTTTCACACATAACGTATTTTTCCCATGAATCGTCTACGTTTGGTTATATATTTTAATTTTAACTCAGTTGGCTTTCAACATGTATCGAAAACAACGAAATCGTATTTATTGGGTGCACCCAATTAATCAGAGAAGAGATGAAGTGGGGACATTCGTTTCTTTAATGAAAGAATTACGCGCAGACGAAAACAAATTCTTTAATTAATAATATATAATATTAAAATGCTTTAGTACAAGTGACCACAAAAACGGACGGCAGACGAATAAAAATCGTCTTTTGTGAATGCGTTCGCGTAGTCACCTACGCCACTGATAAGACGGCGACGGCACGATCGCCGTATATTTCAGTCATTGAGACGGCTGTTTTAAATCGTCCGTACGGAAAAAACCCGCCTCCGTCCAGTGTGAAAGCTTTAGTTAATTTTATTAGTTTACTATTAATGGCTCACGGATAAAAACCGTACGGAGAAAATCGTCACGTGTGAAAGAGGCCTTAATATTGGTATGCATACTGATATACAATCTATTAATTCCAAATTGTTTAGGTATTTCCAATTCAACTTCTTTTTTTTTTCGATAATACTCTGATCTTTAACGTCATTTTCAAGGTTATAAAAGCATTCCTGAAAATGATCTACAAGGATCTGGTGGTACTAGATTATTAATATCTATCATAATAGTCACACGTACCTATCCTTCTTTAAAGCGGCCTCTTATACAATTAATTATACTGTGCAATATCTAATAATGTGCAATGCTATTGTATGTCTGATACGAATATTGTGCATACTGTGCAAGTATTGAATGAAAATTGTGCTTGTTTGAAATTAATAAAATTATTAATTGAATAATTTGTACGTTTAGGCATAATATTGTACAATAATTGTTTTTGACGGTTCAATTGAATTCAAGTCACCATGGCAAAGCGCAATGAAGACCGCAAATTTATTATCGAAGTATTGCAATTATATCGTCAACATATAGCTTTTTGGAAATCTGATCCTCAGTATGGTACTTTCCATCAACTTCGTTAACACCCACCCCTTATGTAACTGGTATATTATATTTTTTATATAATTCTTTAGCAATGATTAAAATGGTTTGATAGTTGTCTCTGATATCTTGAGTTGATGTCACAGCCATTTATATCATATTTGTATCATATTTGAAGCAGCTTCCAAATCCATATTTATATTTTGTAGCTGTTTAAATACAACGCGTAAAGAATGAAGAATTGGTTCCCATGTACATAGAATTAAAATAAATTCAAATGTTTCTAACTTTTTTTTTAATCCAGAATCTAATGTTCTTTCTGATGTTTTGTTACTTGTAAAAATAATATGAGTCAACGATTTTAGTACATCTATGAAACGTTCCTTTAAAGAAAATATTGTATCATATCGGATTTCCTACCTAATTAGACATACTTTCTTTCAAACCTTTGAATGGATATTAGTAGAAATTTCATGACCAAAGGTTAGCAAAAAAATTAAAAATTGCTTGAATTTTATCAAAAAAATGAATTATTTTACTATGAGATTTAACTGCATCGGATATCATCAAATTTAGATTATGACTACAACAATAAATATAAGAAGCTGATGGAAAAAGTTCTTTAATTCTGGTTTGAACGCCAAAATGTATTCCGATCATAACAGAAGCACCACCATTACCCTTATCCGCGGCATTTTTTAATATCCGTCTACTTTTGATACAATTTCAAATATCATTTGCGTATAGTCTGCTGCTCCATGGTGTTTTAACTCAAATACACCATACAAATTAATTATATATTAACCATACCCGGTACAAGAGCAATATAAATTAACAATAATGATAATAATAAATTGACGTGCTGTAGACGACGGTCTACCAAAGGGATTGTCGCTAGAGGTGGGAATTTTCGGTCATTTGAATGATTCGGTCATATCAGTCATTTCGGTCATTTCAGTCTCGCATCAAATATCGTTCTTATCATTAGGTGAATCAATTTTCTTATGAAATATGAATTAGTCAATCAGTGACAGGGATTATTATTATTATAATGTTGTAAATTGTACTGTTTGTAGTAAAACGCCGTGGTTGTTATCATAAACTATGATAATTATCACGGTCTTGGATTATTAATTATTATTGTATACAACGGTTAAAGTGGTGGGGGCTGGAGGGAAATGGAGTCCCCCTTTTTAATTAAGGTAAGTATATGCGTCCTCTTTAATTTAAGTCATCAAAAGTCCGGGTGGACGCTTAATGGCATTGGTCACTAAAATACAATATTGAATATACAATACCTACTTATTATAACAATATTACATGAAATTTATTTTCTTGATTTATTTGAACAAGTGGAAAGAATTTCGGAGAAATAATATTTAGGTACAACGATACGAAAAAATGGTAGATAATGTACACCATGGGTTAATTTAATTGACGCTGTATCTAATTATAGATGATCCCCGATTGGTTATTACCCATAGCTCTAAAATTAAAATGATGTGATATCGACTATTATTTAGAATAAATATAAACAGAATAGAATAACTATAAATAGAAAAATATTAAATTATGATAGAGGATAGACACTATCTTATAATTAGGGCCCGGAATTGTATGCATTTGCATATTATTATATACTAAACTAAAAAGTAGCTAGGTAAGATAAAAATTTGAATCTTAATTCAAATTATAATTCTCTGTGTTGGTATGCAAAATTAAATTTGGCATATTTTTACATATTGGAACATTTCAAATTATTATGCATATTTTAGCACTTGTCTAAAATATAATGCATATATAGAAAAAAATATTACGAAGTTATTAATATTATTATTTATTACTTAGCATATGTCCATCGTAAATCCTGTGAATCGTGCAGTTACCTATATAATTTGATTTTTGTGTTATAATATGATAATATAAAGTTTGCTAAAAGTACTAATACTATAATAACTCTCCAAGTAACTTTAAAAATATTATAAAAGTCCGCTTGATTTATTTAAATTGATTTTCGTTTGTGACTTTTTGTTTAGATCAGTGAGTGTTCAAAATACAATTTAATTTCAATACAACATACAGTACTATACAGTTCAATAATATATATAAAATACAGTTGATATATTTTAAAGTATATTTTTGTTGAATATTAATTATTTAATGAATTGTATACATTTTAAAATTAAATAAATTTAATAAATAATAAACATGCATTGTTGTTTACATATTTTGAATGCATATTTGAATGATAACCATCGTATAAATGCATATTTCGTACGTTTTTAGTGCATATAATTCCGGGCCCTACTTATAATATAGACAATATACACCTTTTGTGCAATGTACGATTTGTTACTGTTTACGTCGACCAACAAATAACAAGGTAAGTAATTGTTTCTTTTAAGTTTTGTTAAATTTAAGTTTTTTAAACATTACCTACTATGTATTTCAATTTATTTTTTTTTAATCAGGCATATGTAAAGAATTATTTTTCTTTGGGGGAAATTACGCCCTATGAAAACTATGAAAATAAAATTTGTATGAACATATATGTGTAACAAAAGAGGCTTAGACCTCATGGGTTTCCTAAAAAAGATTGGTAAGATTTAAAATTAGGAAGGGGAACGCTCTTCAATTTTTGATGAATATAGTCCCCCCACAACATTTTCCCCACTTTAACCACTGATTGTATATATTTAATATTATACTAATATAATATACTGCCTATGATTACTATTATAGACTTGTGTTTTCTTTAATACCTTACAAAACCTTAGTTGGTATCGTGAAAGTAGATATCACCATTCACCACAGATTATATTATATTATCTTTTAATCACAAGATGTAATTATTATTAACATGTAAATCAGTACAACTCAGTAGTCAATAGTGACTATCAATAATCGATATTGTCTATTATTAGATAATTATTGTTTTCCCCGAAAATAGACTAGACTCCATGATATAGTATAATTATTATTACTATCATATTTTATACTTATTATGCATGTGTTGTACTATCTATTACCAAAAAATAAAACAAAATAATTCAACATTTTGTATTTTTGTAATTGGTACAAGAAAATTATAA